TTGGGGGGGGGGGCCTTCTTCCCCCCCCCCCCCCCCAGATCCACTGGCGTCACCCCTGAGATTTTTGGGCAGAGGCTGCCCGCGTTTGCACAGCTGGGGCCAGGGTATCTCAGAGGGAACTCAGACCCCCGACCGTCATCCAAGCCGTGTCCCAGCTCCCCCCGCGCCAGCTCCGGGAGGACGCAGCCCTTCTCTCAGACATTCCCGCGCCAGCCTTGGAGGTGCCCCAGCCGTTCCCTGCAAGGACACATCTGTTTTATTACCAATACTGCCCTGCCTTGGGAGAGAGGGTATTAGAGGGAGAGACACCAATAATCTTACTGGTCGACAGAAACGCTGATGGCTTAGTTTTCTAGCAGTAACCCTCTTCTCATCCCTCCAAGAAGAGACGCCCAAAGAAATACAGCAGCCGTTACCTGCCGGTGACTTCAATGTTGGAGACGGCATAGAAGTACTTGTACAAGTTCTCCCTCTGCACGTAGGTGCCCCCCAGGGCCGGTCTCAGCAATCTCATCCGCAGGTCGGTCACGGTGAAGAAGTCCTTGAGCCCTTTGGCGCTCTCCAGCCGGGTGTACAAGTTGTCCATGTTCTTGAGGTCGGGGCCAGCAAAGATGGCAAAGCGGTCCCTCACCTCGAACCGGACGGTCTTCTCTTTTTTGGAGCCCGCCCAGCGGGAATACTCCTCCGTGCAGAGGACCCTGTTGGCACTGGTGGTGGAGAGGTCCCGGACCCTCCGTGCTGGCATGCTGAAGGCCTCCATGCAGTCATCTGCGTAATATTGGTACGGGTGCCAAGTCCTCCCGTTGTCCAGCGACTTCTCCAGCATCATGATGGTGGGTCGGCCGTACTCGAAGGTTATCACAATGTCATCCGTCAGCTCGATGCTCTTGTTCCAGGACAGCGTGATGTTGGCTAGCAGCGGCTCCGGGTACCGGCGCCACGTCACGCTCTGCCAGTACGTGGCCAGCCCTTCGTCCTCGCTGTCGAACATGAGTTTCGGCGGGTGGGCCAGGTCCGGGTTGGAGGCGTCGCACTCGTCGCTGCACAGGTACGGGTTCTCCTGGAACAACAACAACGGTCACAAGAGAAGAAGGCAACGCCTGGGCATCGTGTGGGCATCATGGGCACGCGGCCAAGCTCGCACCGTTACTGGGCCCTGGTTTTAGCTGCTTGTGTCAAACGTTAACTGCTGGGCTGAAACTGGAGTATGAATTTAAGACAGAAAAATGTGGCTTTGCCTTTGCTATAAGAACGGCTGAGCTGTTTCCTTTGAAAGGCCCTTCGGGAAAGGGCCTTTCAATTTGGCACGGGGGCAACTTTCATAGAAAGCGCTTTCCCTGAGACAGTCTCTGAGAAACTTCGCTTAAGGTTGGCCGAGTTACAAGCCCATGGAAAGCTGCGTTCACCCCTGCTCCCTTGCAAGAACCGAATGGCTGAAATCCCCAAAGCACATCCATGCCTCTGATGGCTCCTGATGCCGAATGGGCTGGGGAGACACCGTCTCCCCAGTGCCTCTGAGCACGGCTTGAGGAGGGAAACCTGATTCCTCAGCTCTGAGCTGGGACAGGACCGGGCGGCAGTGGAGAGAGCAGAGATTTGTGCTCCCGGTGTCTCTGCTGTCCTCAGGACAGCACCCTGGCCTTGGGGACAAGCAGAGCAGGTATGCTTGGGGTGCACCCGCTCAGCCCAATGTGACGACCATTGCTGGTCACTCCTCAGTTCAACCTGCCCAAACTAACCAGAGGCTGAGCTGACAGCGAAGGAATCGGGAAGGGAACAGGGCAGGCAGCTCTGTGCCCACCCGCCAGCAACCAGAAGGGACCCAGGACTCCTGCAGCCTAAACACTGTCCCCAGCCACTTGCTGCTTGTCCAGGCGCCCTTAGCCTGTGGCAAATACAAGATAACCTCAGTTAACGTCCGTCTTTGCAGAAACTGAGTTACGTAGCTGTGCCTGGCAGGCCTGCTGCCTGCGGGGACAGGCACTTCCCAAGCCGCGCTGCCTTCCCCAGCTGCAGGCAGGAGGTGCAACGGTCCTCACCCGCCCGCAGGGACCACGGTGGGAAGGATGGCTCATCCCATCCAGGCGACAATGTCCGCTGCTACGTCACTCGTTGCCTGCAGGCCTGGGCAATGGCAGAAGAAGTCCAGCCATCCCATTTTGCCCACAACTGACAGTGCATGTCAAGCTCACGTGTTTTGCAGGGACACACGCACGCATCCACATGTGCTGAACTGCACTAAGGACATATCGTCAAGGTCACACACCAAATGTTGAAGTTTCGGAGGTGGGCATCAGGGTTAGCCGTGCCAATGGGTTTATTGCTCAAGCATACATGTTAAAGCCCGTCATTACAAGCTGGGGTCTCTCTTGCCCTGCAGCCCCTTCCTCCAGGAGCCTGTGGGTCAGACCTGCCTTGGGGGTGACGTGGGGCTGTGTTACAGTGGCTACCGTCCGCAAAAAAACTCTGCAACACACTTCAAATCTTTTTTGCATGCGAAGCATCTCTTTACATCCCGCTTGGACTCAAAATCCAGAGGATCAGGGAGGCAGGGAGATTGGTACAACAGCGGGCTCTACTGCAGTGGGACCCTCATCAGGGAGGCAGAGCCACCTGGCAGAGGAGGAGGTGATAAAGCAGCTGGAGCTGCTCAGAGCTGATGGCTGGAGGTGAGGAGCCTGCTGGGATGTGAGGTCTGGCCCTCTCGAGCACAGCGGACTTGCAAGGTAAGACCGAGCCGGGTTTTGCCGTTTGGTTTGTGAATGCTTTGTGCGCGGTCGGGAAGGTGCTGTGTGCGGGGAGCAGCGTGCTCCTGCCCGGCCCCGGGGACCTCCTGCAGCACCGGTGCTGTGCCGGGGTGCAGGGGCTGCTGGTCCCCGGCTCACAGGGAGCTGGTGCTGGTACCTGGGGGCTCAAACAAACAAGATGAGGGGCTGGGGTCTGCGCAGGCTGCTTGTGTCCCAGGGCTGGGAGAACCCCGCTGGAAGCGGGGGAAGAGGCCGCTCCTGTGTCCATGGCACTGGGGACTGATCCTGCACTGTGGGCTTGCTTTGACCTGGGAAACTCTTGGAGTCTAAGTGCTTGTGGCCTGCTTTTAGGGTGCCCTGTGTATACCCCGGGCAAAGCAGAGGAGGGGATCTGGCTTGGACAAATGGATGCTCTTGGGTGCAAAGTGCAGCTGTGCTTTGAACGTGGAAAACAATGTGTAACATGAGGTGCTTTGGAAAATCTGGGCTTTGCCACCTCCAGTTGGGCAACCAAAAGTCCTGGGAACTACTTAGAGCTCCTCCACTCCGCGTCTGTAAAATGGGCCTTTGGTGCCTCCCTGCAGCTTGGAGACACGCGCTGAATGCGAGCAACTGTTTGCACAGCGAGTGGAGGCCACAGCGCCGAGGAGCCTAGAAAAGCTCAGGAGGACATAAATAATTCTGTCTTCTGAGCAGCGTGCGAGTAGCACTCTGTAAATAAGGCAGAAGGCTGCTCTGCCAGCAGCAGGGATAAAACAAAATAGCGAGCAGCTGATCTGCACGTGAGCACCAGGCTCCTTTGCAGGGGATGCAGCGGTGGCCTTGGGGAGAAAAGGGGACTCCCGTAAATAAAGCATGCGTTGTCATGTGTGTGTGCACGAGGCTGCCAGGGAAAGCAGCAAAAGCCAGTTGATAAGCTGGAGCAAAACTCACACTGTTTTCAACATTGTCTTGCTCTCAGACACGCACCTGCCCGATGGTAAAGCCACGAGTGCCGTGCTGGGATTTGCTCCCCCTGTTACAGCCTTAACTTGAGCGCCGTGTGGCTTTTGCCGTCTCCATGTGTGCTGGGAGGAAGGGCTGCAGCCGGAGCTGTTGAGCTCCGGTGCGGTGCCCATCCCCGGAGCAGGGAGGCTACTAAATGGATGCTTCGATGGCTGTTGTAAAAGTAAATGGCTATAGTTTTATTATTTTTCACTTGCTTGCAGCTGTGCCACCTGAGCAAGGGAAATCAAAGGAGTGCTCAGGCTTGCTTGGCTTGGTCAGGTTGAGAGCACCTGCCCAGGAGCTTCCTCACTCCCCTCCCAAAGAGGGGGAGCTGCCCCAAGCAAGGGGTGATGCCAGCTGGGGTGCAGTAGGGCTCTGAGCAGCGCCAGGGGGTCCTCTCCTGCTGCGACATGCTGTTCCAGAGCGGGGATTTAAAAAAACTAAGATATTGATGTATTTAATATGCTCTCCTGACTCGTCACGTTCAGAGGAATTGTTTACCTCTGCTAATGAGACAGAGCTCCCTGCTGGGGGATGTAGCTGCCTCTTAGCGCAGCTTTACAGCGGTGGCTGATGGAAAAGGAAGAAAAATCCCCATCAGCTGAAGCGCTGGGGGCTCTGAGTACGTTTCCTGTGCTGAGACAACATATTGTGTTGCTGTATAGTCCTACTGCCAATGTGGTCATACAGATGGCTTAATAGGACAGTCCTGAAAAGACCATCCCAGAGGTCTGTTTTCACCTCTTGTCTGAAGGAGGGTGCAGCAGTGCAGCATCTCGGTGGGCTCAGGTGGGGAATTGGCTTGAGGCAGCAGCACAAAACTCCCCGACAAACCCACCTTGCTGCTCAGACCAGCTCTGTATGAGCAGGAGTCTGCGTGCACGGAGCCGTCCTGGCAAGAGCGCTCTTGCCGTGTGGCTTCCTTTCCTTGCATGCAGCAGCCATCGGGGCTGCCAAAGCCCTTGAGCTGATGTAAGATGAATCTCCACTGAGTATTTGCTGCTAGAGCTGTCCCCAGCGTGGCCGCACTGGCCAGCTTCACCTTCGGGGCTAGGGATGATGCTCCCTATCAAGGTTTTCTTTGGAGGCTTTTTTAAGCAGTGGCCAAACTACACAAGGGAAGGACTCTGTGACCAAGCCACAATAAGAAAACATTACCCAGACCAGCAAAGGGTGGCCAGGGTAAGAGGTGGGACAGGTTTCACAGGAGCAGTGAAGGAAGCAACCGAGCCTAACAAGTATGATCCCCTTCCCGGTGTCCTGTCTGGAAGGACAGAGCTGGCCAGGCAGGTCGCTGGCAAGGGACCTGGCAGGTCAAGAGCAGGAAGAAGCGGAGCCAAAACTCTGCCTGTCTCCCATATACTCGTCCCAGAGATCAGGGAATGGAGGTGCACAATCCCCAATGGCTCCTGTACATCCCAACCTGTAAGCGTGCTCAGCTCAGCAGGCAGCAAGCCCAAAGATGTCTTTAACCACCCTGATGCTCTGGAGCAGCACACGGCTTGAGAGCTGCGTGGTTGTAACAGGGCAAACGCAAAAATAACCTCTAAATGACAGTGCTGAAAGGTGGGGGAGAGCCTCAAAAGCCACCGAGTGAGTCACATCACTATGGCTTCCTCTGCTAAAATGAAGTGTTCCTTTTTGGTTTTAGGTTTATTGAATTGTCCTTCCTCCATGGGATGCTCAATGCATTTTCTGCTGGTGGGGTGGTTTGAAGTCAGCCGGGAGGGCAGGGGGGAGCGGAAACAGATGGCCATACTTTGGCTGCTCCGTTGGTCCTGGTAAGATCAGTTATAGCACTGTTGAAACAATTCCAGGTATTATTTTTGAATCTGGTTTCCTCCTCCAAGCTGTGTGTCCTCCAAAGAATCTGTCCAAAGTCTCAAGATACTTACGTCTTCAATCTAAAAGTCAGACTGCATTAGCCAGGCAAACTCGGTCTCAGTGAGCTTAAAATAAACCAGTTCACTTTGAGTCTCACACTATTAAATCAGTCGTGAGCGTCCTCACGGTGACTAGACATTGCAGGTTTCCAGCTCTCCAGCATGCTCTTCTGGTTGCTCATTTCTTGAGGGTGCACCAAAGAGCACTGCAACCTTGCTTGGCCCCAGCTCAGCCCAAAGGGGCAAATCCCCGGGGGCAAATTGCAAGAGCCTTTTTGGGGACAAGTTGTCCTGACAAATATCATCACGGCAAGACTGTGCCTCCATGGGGCAAGTGTCCCGCTGGGGAATGACGTGCCTGGAAGTGTGTCCCAGTCCCGGTGGCTGCAGACCCAGCCCTTGGGTTTTGCCTCCTCTCGCTGCCAGGCTGGGGCCAGTGCTGG